GGAGAGATGGCTCAAGTGGTTAGAGCGCGAATTCACTGACCGGAAGGTCCGTGGTTCGAACCCTCTCGACTTCCCCTGTCTAGGCTTGGGCAACCTGGCAGTATCCCAGTCCTCGTGCTTCCTTCGGGTGGCATGGCAGCTAGGCAACGAAAGGATGCTACAGCTGGACGATTTATGGCGATGAAAGACATCTTTCCGGGGAATTGAGTGCAACTACGTCCTTGTCTTTCTGTGTTTTGAAAGAGTTGTGGTCAGCTGAGCAAATCATCATCATCATCATTATCATTGTCAGCAGTAATAAAGGTGTACTTGTCATACAGTGGTTGTAGACGCCACAGTTTCGTTCACCAATGATTCGGGGAGGTGGAAGTGACATAACACATGAATAAGACTTACACAGGAAGGAGGATGAATTCGAGCCCGTTAATGAATTCAACACATTCAGTAAGCCAGGTGCCAATGACGACCTGATGATCTGTTCAGTAGGATGCCTACACCGTACACCCATTCCTTTCCAGACTGTCAGGGATAAAGTGTTTTCAAATGAAAGCTTCCCAAAAGTTTCAACAGTCCACTCGTGAATTACCTAAGTCATGAGTTAGTTAGAACAACGCACGCCTTTCAAATGCCATGGGCAATTGAAAATTGGTACTGGTTGAAAAAACCCAGCCAAATCCTGTGGCTGTCGGGAAGGATGTGATGGGCGATCTCGCTACTTTCTGAACAGCCTCACATTTATTGAGGCTTAGCAGGTGAGTGCTGCGATGAATCAACCACAAGACCATCTAGCAACCTCAAGTTCTACCAAGTCTTCCAATTACATGAGTATCATGAGCAATATCCTAACCAATCAACGGTCCTCACAGAGAAACTCGTATTTAGCGAGCAACAAGTATGATAAGAATCGAGGAAAACTTGAGCAGACAGCAAAAACAATGGGTTGGATTAAGGCAGGGAAGTGAATAAAGCAAACAAAATCGGGCAGTTACAATGATCGCCTAAGCCTCCATTACTCGACAAAGAGAGAAAGTGCGTTAGTCTTCTACAGCGCTAGGTGAGAAAACAGGTTATAAGTCAACGGCACGACCGAATGGAACGACTACCAGCGCATACCTTTAATCGGAACCGAATGGCGAACCAGCGCTTTGCCGTGTCATACGTTGTCAGTTCACCCATATTCACTAGCGCCGCGCGTTGCACATTGGCGAGGCCACCACGCCAGAGTGCTGTTGGACCACCTTCGGAGTAGAGCTGTTTTAGACAACCCACGAAGCTGAGACGTCTGCCAAGCAAGTGACGAGAAGAGAAAAGAGTGAAAAACCTCTTCCACGAAACGAAGCAGCACATTTACCACGTTGTGTACACAATCAGGGGGCGAGTACTGATGGTTGATTGCAGATATGTTGTCGTTGGAGTGCACCCGGATGAAAAGAAGCAACAGACCGAGTAAATCAACACTACCTAGACTCACTAATATGGTGTCACAAAAGCTGTATGGTTCGGTGCTATTCGAAAGGCGATTGTATGCTTTGAGGATAAACAACAAAAACGACAATAAGGCTGCAACAGGGGAAGGAAGACTCCTTACGGGAATGTTCGAAAGGCTACTGTTAAAATAAGGAAGCCATGACTTTTGACAAGGATGAGAGCCAGCATTCCCTCGATACAACTGTTCCCCCTTGGAAAAATAAACCTGCTCTAATCAGTAATCCAAAGAAGATTGACGGTATGTTCAGTACTTGGAACGGATTCAGTAGTCATAGGTATCGGAAAAATTTGGTGAAAATCGGTAGATTTATTGCTGGGCAACATTTCGCTTTTAACACAAAAACTTCGTCAGGCCAAGTCTTGATCATAAGGTGCGAAAATTGAAGGTAAATCGATTGCTTCTGTAGTGAGATTTCTGGAACCATTGTATCGAACCTTGCACGGTGAAGTTCCGAAGAACCTATAGCTTATCAATCACTTTTGAAAGAGAATACGCGGTTTATTAAGCATAACAACATTTCAAAACGAAAGCTTATCGAAGAAAGACATTTTAGGAAGGGAAACATTGGTCAAAATTGTAAAATCAACCTATAAGTCATTTGTATCAGAGGCCAAGAAAAACAAAGGTTAAATTGAAAATTCTACTACTGGAAAAAGAGGAGCACGTGACGGGGGAAGTCAAATGAAGTGCCACACGTATGAGACAAGCAAAAAAATTAGAAGACAAAAAGGGATGGCCAATGGTGACTCAGTGTTCACCAAAACAATTTGTAAAAACGTATCCCACATGCACACGTAGGATATTTAGTTCCCAGGGAATAGACTCACAATTCTTATTTTTATGTAACATGCTGGGGATAAAGTGGAAGACCACTACAACAGAAGCTATATAAAACTGATATGATAGTCCAATAGCCATAGTCGCATTGCGTCCCACCAAGCCAAGCCATTGGTGGAAGCTAGTTCATTTATGCATAATAATTAGCCTACTCGCTTATTGTAAGTAGTCAAGAGATCAGGGACGCAAACAGGTCTATGAGGGCGGGGCAGTTCGCAGCGTGCTTGTGGGTTTCGGTTTGCCAATTCAAACGACCATGTCTCGGGGTGGTGAAGATTGTCGGAGATTAGATTAACAGTGAAAGAAGCATTGGTGAAACTCACGGTTACGGGGCAAGAAGACTCTGTAATGGATTATGAGTCACATGACCGAGCGCCGAATGACAGACCGAATGGATCGATCATGTCCGAGTGGCGAACCAACGACTGACAGAAACTCGAGGACTGCGCCTACCTGATGAGACCCAAAAAGGGCGAAACCGGTCCTGGGTTGTCGAGGAGTTTTCAGCAACCTTATGAGTAGTGTATTACAACGACTGACCTGTTTTAACCAATCCGATAGCTGGTGAGTTTTCAGCAACTTTATGAGTAGTGCATCGGAACGACTGACCTGTTTCAACCAATCCGATAATTGGAAGAACATTCGCAGTGATCACAATGTATCGTGATCACTTTGACCTTAGTAAGCGTCAAGTCAAATTAATGGGGGATAGAAGAAAATCGCCCTGCAATCTAGATGATAAACTTGCTCTGTGGCTAACTCTCGGCATTCTGAGCTGAATCGAGTTGTTCACTTCAGCGATGAAAATCTTTGTTCGGAGTAAGCGTGCGTGAAAATCAATGACCCTAATCGATCCGAATCCGCATGACATTTGAGTGAAAAGCCTCGCTTTGTTCTGTTATAATCTCACCGGACATAACTCGTGATCTTACTGATAGTAAGCAAATCCAAGGTCCTTTAAATAACGAGTTCAACATCAAGTAGGCTATAAGCGTCACCATAACTATCCAAAGCGATGATTTCAAACAGACACTATGATAGTATACCCGTACGAAGATGGTCCAGCTGATATTCAAAATTAGAATTTCATTTGCGTGATGTTCCTGGTTGGTGGTTCCAACTCGTCCTCAACCAAGTTTTTCAACCAAGATTGCCAGTGTTTTTTGGTTGAGATGGCTCAAGTTGTTAGAGCGCCAGTTTACTGACCGGAAGGTCCGTGGTTCGAATCCGACCTCAGCCTCTCCAATTTCTCTGTTTAGGCTTGGGCAACCTGAGAGTATTGGTAATTTGTTGGAATATTGGTAGCTCGGGTGCACCAGTTAGTAATTGATCAGGTGGCTGTTGATCTGTTCGCCGAGCTTGGCAATTGATTTGCAAACGTTTCGTCACCATTCGAGAAGACATTTTCAGTGTACTGTTGGGTGGGTAGTCCCTCTCTTCGAAGAGAGGACTGTTGATCTTCTGTACGTGGGCTAGTGTTTTGGTTGTCGGAAAGGCGTCAGCGGTTTGGATGGAACCCTGCATGATTTTTATGACAGTTTCTCAAGAGTGCTTGGATGAGGCTTGGTAGCGACCCAGAAGTGACAGTCCTTAAATTGATGTTCCAGTGAGTCTCGAAATTAAATTCTACCATCTTTTGAAAACCCAATGGGCACAGGAGACCTGGAACCCCCAACTTCTTTGCTCGCCATTTAAATGTTCTACAGAAATTGTCGGGTGGCATATAAGCTGTTTTTCACTCAGGAACGGAGAAGGATAGTCTGAACCTGGCGAAATACACTCATTCGTAAATTAACTTGGTTGACGGGGGACTCACCTACGATATACTTCAACGGAATGTGCCGCGGAAACTCCATCTTATGGTTCAGTCGGCACGATATCCCACACATTGCATTGACTGAATCCCGGTTGAATTTCCAGTTCATGAGAGTCCCCGGTTGAGTCTTCTGTCAACATCAGCTTAACTTGCAAATGTGTGTATTTCGACAGATTCAAACCATCTGGGTTTTTAAGTAGAACACAAGGTTGACAGAAGCTCGAAGACTATTCTCGCCTGGTGAATCCTAACAAGGGCGAGATCGGTAGCGAGATTTCACAGTCTTCGCGAACTTTGTCAGTAGTGTGCTACGGATCGAAAGTGCTTGTAGTGTGGACAACTTCTGTAAGACGGTCTGATCATCGCGGCAAATAAAGGGACTTCATGTACACCCAGATTCGTCTGTGAGGACTGACTGTCAGTGTTTTCAATTCACTGCTGCGGATGGTTGGAATAGCAGTTGAGACTTCTCTCTTTCTCATTTAGCCTTTTATATGATTTCTTTCGAACACTGTCGAGGCTGTGGGCCCACCAGCGCTTCGGGGCTCTTCACATTGCATCGTGTTGTCTATCTGGAAGTACAAATTGCCTCGTTTCAATCAAAACTGTAGAGTGCAATCAAGTGTGGCGTTGTGGCCGTTCGAAGACTAAATCACCTGCAATTTGTATTTCATGCCATTCGTCAGTTTGACCCAAATTCGAGAAGAGTATGTTGAGCTGTTGTCGGTGGACTTCCTCGGTTAGTATCTCTTCCAGACATTCAAAACCGAGTCGACATAAACAACGGAACGAGTCGGGAGGCACAAAGAGGCCAGGCCGGAGTCTGTACGAGTCTTGAAAAACGAACAGCAGCCTTGGCGATAAGGGCTCGGAGCCCATTATGATAACTACCAGGAAGGTCAGATTCCTGAAAGTAACCACCGCTGAGAACTGCAACTCCACTAGATGCTGACCGAACAGACAACGCCCACTCAATAAGCAGCGCGTGACAGCCTTGTATCAAAGCCTGACAGCGTGGGACGAAGATCTACCCCTCTAATAAAACCACTTGAGAACGTTGTACTTTCGCGCTCACACTCTCGCACTCGCTTGTTCGCAATAAAGCTGTTGTGTTCCTTATCCTTTTTTCCGGTACTAGGCACTGGAGCGGGAACAGCAGTCAGATAAAACAGACTGGCAACTCAGGCAGATATAACAATAACCAACGAACATTCTAGCCGCCGGGAGCTAGAAGCGCTTAAACCAGTCAGTACGTCAGATGACGCAAAGTCCTTCTGACTAGACGGAAAATGGTAAGAACTCAAGGCTAGACGAGTACCAGATCGTGGTAAAACACCCACAGATTTATCGATATTCTATACCTAGAGGTAGTGTTACCAGAGCAGCGCTATTAACGCGTAAATGAAGCTGACAATCAAGGAACTAGACTCCTCTCTCCGTTTCTTCCAAAAACTCCCCGAGAACTTAACTCACCGTTTCGTTACTTATATGCCTTGTACTCAACAATGTTATTACAGTCACAAAATAATGGTGTTGAGAGTGACTTCATGACTTCACCGATCAAGGTGAGACACGTCATCAGCTTGATAATCAAAGCAAATTATCACAAGATCTACATTTTATTCCGAGATATGAATAAAAACAGCATGTAACCAGATGTAACACACTACTCATAAGGTTGCTGAAAACTCCTCGACAGCTCACGACCGGGTTCGCCCTTCTTGGGGCTCATCAGGTAAGCGCGGTCTCCGAATTTTCGCCAACCCAAATTGCACGAAATTAGTGAAGTACACCCATATTTGCGTACCAATTTGGTTTTGACGGGAGACTCACGTGGAACCCAGCTGAATCTCTCGCTTGTGGTGTTTTTAAGCAACTGAATGTGCTGCATCAGGTCGCCTCAGGTTTCAGTTGGCACGATATTCGAGACATCGCGATACATCGTATAGACGTAGTACAGTACTCATAAGGTTGCTGAAGACTTTTCGAAAACCCGCGATCGGTTTTGCCCTTCTTGGGGCTCATCATGTAATTGGATTAGAAAGTGAAGAATTTGACTAGGTAACGAGAACTCCAAAGTGGTTATGGAATCAAGAGATTTTGACAAAACGGTGTCGTCCAGAGGGCTATATAGGATAACGTACTTCGGTGAAGCTGAGGGTGAAGGAACGGAACTTCCGAATGCGGAGAGAGCCGCTTCAGTTCTCCATTTCATTTCGGTTTGAAGGCGTACCTATAAATGTTTTGTAGATCAGAAAAATTCGATGATAAAAAAACGTGCACATGTGAGTTGCTAGGTGATCTCCTCTACACACTTGCGCCGTTATCAGCCAACATTATCTGCAAGAGTAACGCGTTAGTAGTTGAAAGAGTATTCCGAAAATTGGGAAGCTTAGAATGGGAGCTACTAAAATAACTCTTCAATCGTGAGGTCCCAAGGACAGGACACCAAATCGATCAGGTGAATCTGCCAAGTTCCTATGGGAAAGCCCAAACCTGACACTCAACTCGTTTCGGCACCTCCAGTCGGTTGTCCGAATGAGAGTGCAGCTTCGTTTCAGAAGCGGTTGGTAAACAATTGGATTGCAGTTTAAGACGAAATCCGATAAGCAGATCCACAGGATTGAGGAAAACCCGAAACCCACGGAAAGATTCTAAATCAAGCACCTGAAGACAAATCGCACACGTTAGACCGACAAACTCCAAATGAGCAACGACGGCGATAGTCTGTTCTAAATACTTTCCACTGACCGTATGGAAGGTGCACCTCAAAAAGACATCAGAAAGCCCGAAATACTATACGAACAAAACCACGAACAGTCGTCATGAATGGGTTTCTTAAAGCAATCTTCGTACGACGTTCAAGATACATTTTACACCTAGTGCCCCGGACGCTAAACGACGAAAAATGATCACGCATCCTTTCCACAAACTAGCCATGACGCTGCACCGGAGCACAGCCGTGGGAAGCATGATGGTCCAAATACTGTCGGGCTACCTAAGCACACAGAGGAGGAATCGAAATGTTTAGTAGCATATCATGGACGTTTTGATCAGGAAGTCGTGCTCCAAGCTCCGAGCGCTCTGAGTGACTCAGACCACCATTATCTGAAACAGCAACATCAGTGTTGACACTGGTGCCTCACTGCCGTACAACCACAAGGTACTAAAATCCGCAGAGTGAAAGGAAGGGATCTAGAGCTGGCTTATGTCAAGCATCCTGAGGTGCCTGCTAGTCCAAGCGCCCAATCAGACAACCTGGAAAGAAACTGAGAGCATGAACGCCAGACACCAATTAGCAGCCATTTCTTAGGTCTCCAACCAAGCGTAGGGGTCACGGTAAGCCTATCGTGGAAGGTGCATCACACACAAACTCTCCGTAACCTTTATCAAACCCTTCTGTCAAGTCATGGGTTGTCCACCTTCACGCCATTCTGAAGGAGACATAGAGAACAACACTCGTCTCGGTATTCGATGCTTAGCCATGTGTAACACCAGGCCGAGCTGGGTGTTTTCCGCGACTGAGGGACCCCTTGCACAACCAAACATCCACTTGCTAATTTCTAATCACTTTGTTACTAATTCGTTGACGTCATCCTACACCAGCAATGCTTTTGAGACAACCTGAAGACTCCTAACATCATCTGACCAAAGAGACCAATTTTCACAACCACGAAATAATGCAGCTCTGTCACACACGGTCCCTGAGACCCATTGATGTGCTTTTTTGACGCCACAAGTGACCCAAACTAGCAAACATGGTTTTGCTCTATGAGAACAGTGTACTGATTCCATTAGAGGTTAGTAAAATGTGAAATCCTCCGCAACCCCAAGTGCCTCTCATAGAATTGCAGTGACATGTTCGGGGGTGCACGTTCGGAAGCATGACTTTGCACTCTGAATGTGCGGGATGCTCCCGGAAGATGGTCTGACGGTGATCAATTTACTCAACAGAGCGATCCAGACCACCGGTCCTCAACCTTTTCTCCCATTGAGCTAATCAGAGAAGGTAAGTTGTCTCGTAAATATTCTATCTTCCACTTTCGTTACCCGACAACAAGGTCGGCTTGCAACAAGAATTGCCGAAACTGCTGGCCAATTGAGCACGCACCTCCAACTCTACATTTCCAAACGAACAGGTATGAGCCTCTTAAAGAGGGGTTTCGAGTGATTATTCATAACGCCCGTGAACGTCTATCAACAGTAATTTTTAACATCATCAAGATCCAGAAACTGGACATGTTTACCGGAATATATCGACTTGCCCACGAAGGTGTCGGTGCTTTGTCTGCTATCAATGATTGCCGTTCAGCTATGATCCACTGTCTGGGGCATTCAGCAGGTGTTATACATCTTGAGGGAGTCCCTCTCATCGCGTCAAATTGCTGTAGGAAACAGGATCTCCTGTTTTTGTCAAAATGTCTACAAAACGGGTGGCAGAGCATATATTCAGGATGATAATGAAGTGCTTCCTATCGTTTCTTCCATGAAGTCGATGAAATGCCCGTCCTGTAGGGCGCCGAGTATATTCCACGCTAGTTTAGCAGAACTTACGGACAATGTAGCTTTTGTATTGTTTTTATTTGGTCGTACGTGCAAAATGACATCGTCTGCTTGCAGAGAACATTTGCCAGGAAACAGGATCTCCTGTTTTTGTCAAAATGTCTACAAAACGGGTGGCAGAGCATATATTCAGGATGATAATGAAGTGCTTCCTATCGTTTCTTCCATGAAGTCGATGAAATGCCCGTCCTGTAGGGCGCCTAGTATATTCCACGCTAGTTTAGCAGAACTTACGGACAATGTAGCTTTTGTATTGTTTTTATTTGGTCGTACGTGCAAAATGACATCGTCTGCTTGCAGAGGTGGCAACATTTGCCCACGGGATGGTCGAGAAAACAAGTGAAAAGCAGCATATCTTCTGAAGGCACATTCACATACAAAAAGTGATAACAAGATACAGATCCAACCGGTGCGAGTGAAAACAAAACTCAAGGATGACAATCCGATACGTATCAGCATATCGACAACTGGGTACAAGCATGTGGCAAAAGGCTCACTGCCCCTGGGTTCTTTAGTGAAGTGGATATATTTAAAACTACCACGCGGTCAAAAGATGAAAGCCACGATGCATTGGCGTGAATCAAAACGATCGTAAAGTAGTGTTCGGGAAGTCCACTGGAACGCGGACCATGGATAATGTTTAGTCTAATACGCGCATCGCATCCAACACTATTAACACGCAATGAGACATCTGTACTACGCTTTTGCCCGGTCGCTCATGAAAATAAGCCAGTGTTAGACCGATGCGTTTTCTCGCATTTAAGTTCATTTTCATTGCTGTGACCAACGTTAAATATGTACGCCCGGTCGTGAGAACCTTTTGAGATACTGACCACGCGACAATTCAGACTCGCCCAGTGTACACTGGTGGAGTAGTGGTAACACACTCGCCTCGCATGTCAGATGTTCGGCATGTAGATGAACTCTAGTAAGAGTAGGACTCGGGTGGTCGAGTGGACAATGGCGTGGATTACTGTTTGGGTGGCCTGGGTTCGGACCTCACACGAGGGCCTCCGGGTTGGCAGCCCGCCTTTCTTTATAACTTGAGATAAAGATGCAAATAAAGACTGTAGCATTTAACTGTTTGCCTTGAAAGCCCTAATATCAAACAGCGGTCAACGGGACTGGATAGTGGTTTCCAAGGTATTGACGGAAGAAGCCGAAAACTAGATGTTACATGGGGCCAACTGTTATGCGGTTAGTCCGTCTGATGTGCATCAACTTCCGCTATCATATAATCCAGTTAGTACTGGAATAAGCAGCATGTGCATCACAAGGGATGGCCCAAGTCGATATACAAACAAACTCCTGCATCTGGAAACATGTACTTGGTGCGGGAACTCCAGTGCTAATAGATCGACTGTGTGTAATAACTGACCTTGACAAGATCTGTGGGACTGGCTAGGAACTGCGCAAAAGCTCCAGCCATTACTCCTGCAAGTGCCGCACGTACAACAAAGCCGGGATTTCGGTCCAAGGGCGGATAGTCTTTTTCGGTCCCATCAGATTTGACCGCAAAGTGAGCGGCTGGGGGCAAATCGAATACGTCCCGGCGAATGAGTTCGTACACTGGTACTCGTGATCCCGTGTAAACTGAAAGAGAAGCGAAACAAATATCTATATGTTTGGTACGATCCTTCCAAAGACTGTCACTACAAGTGCGAAATAATCCGAGGCCTCTCACAAACCTCTCCAGTTTGTGGGACAGACTGAACATCGGTGGACAAGACGGCAAAAGAACTTTGGTTTGACAGAATGGATTGTTCAATGTGGCATCTTTTTCGACATACGCCATGAAGAGTGTGGGAAGCAGATGTTTGGACAGAAAGAGTTAACCCGAGCCAAAGACTTCCTTGGTCATGCAGCGGTCCTGGAGCTCTCTCAACTGGGCCGATGAGAATTCGTTCATCATAACCGCCGCGATCACTTTGACCGGTATAACAGATCTTACAACATTATTCGTTACGTTTGGTAACGATGACGGTGAAAAACTGCCCAACGGCTACACGAGACCATGGAATCGCTCCCAACAAGAAGATTCTATTTCAACTCTAGTTATAACATCTTCCGCGTAACCAGATACCTGTCATCCAAACGAAAGCCAGTAGACACAAAACCTGTGTAAATAGTCCTGGACCCTCGCGGGGACGTGTTTACTGTCATGTCATAGGCTGAATTTTGTTATGTTGATAGTAAAGACATGGTAGGGCCTCGAAAACTTAGCTATAAGGAGTCTTCCTTCTCCAGTGCTTGTGTTTCAATGAACGTAATATCCCCGCTTAGACCGTATACTTAAAAGAGATTGAACAAGGCTATAAGACAACTCAGCTCGGGGCATTCGCATTACGGGTCCTGCCATACCACAGATCTAAATATAGGCAAAATGGATCATAATTTAGAAAGAGAACACAAAAACGCCAACACATACTTAGGTGGCGAACCAAAGCCGGTGAAAGACCTTGCCAAAGTTGCAAGAAACCTTCCGTGCGAATGGTGGCCCCCGCGAGTTTCCAAATCCCAGGATGGCTCTTCTGTTTTCGCAGCTCGGAAAAAACCTGGATGCGAGTTTTGAGCATATCAAGTGGATAAGTGACTGCGGACCATAGGTCGTTAGAAATGAAAATCACAAGCTCGTACCAGTCTCAGAGATCATGGCGGCGGTGCAACACATGACAAGTGTGGAAGCGGACGTGTAACTTTTATCAGAATTGCCAACTGTCATAGCTGAAGTAAGAACTTGATATTCTGAGACGGAAATGAGATGAGCTGGATGAAGGTGCCCCCGGTTCAAAATTTAGGAACCAGTTGGTTTCGTCGAATGGACCGTATCAACAAGGAAATGCGGACGAAATGAAACACGCTCTGGTGATTACTATGGAATGGAACTGTTCCGCCGAATCCATGATGCCCAGGAAATATGCCAATTTGCTGAAATAAAAGAAATGCAAGTGAAAAAACCATACAGTATTCCATCTAAAGAGCTTCTTTATAATATTCGCTCTCCGGACGCATTTGCCCTGCTCATTATGATATTGTTACGAATAGAGTATCGGTTCTGATTGAGCGCGAGAACAAGAATGAATAGCGTAGAATGAATAGCGCTTTACTTGTCTAAGAATAGACGTACATAAGCTGAAAATTAAGGCAAAAGCGTGGTTAACACAACACGATAATGTGAGCACAAAGAATATTCATGACATTCACCCTGGCCAATGGATTGTGTGTAGAGGGATAAATTGGGTACAGGTATTGGATGAATGATTGTAAAAATCTAATGAGTAATAGTGAGTGTGGTTAGGCTTCTCGATTTCTTAAAACGTAGGGCCGTGTACGCTGCTGGAGCCTGGCTAAATCAGAGATGCTAGGGTCATATGTATCTGGAGATGCAGGTGCATTGCCGGGGCACGGGCGTGAGACTGAAGTACGATCAATATCATCTCCAATGTTATTGAGCGGAGGCGTGTGCAAGTCAGATAGAGGGGGTGCATGAACACCATTGTCTTCATTGAATGAGGTACGCGTGGGATCGTTGACATGTGTGTGATCACCATAAGGAGCGAGATGGCGGACGGATACAGTGCTTTCTTTCCCGCCGGGAAAACGAACACGGGCG